AAAAAAAAAAAAAGCTGGTGTAATCCTAATTTTTCAGGAGGCTGAGATCTGAGGATCACAGTCCAAAGCCAGCCCAGGCAGGAAAAGTCCATGAGACTCTTATCTCCAAAAAAACCACCAGAAAACCACAAGTGGCACTGTGGCTCAAATGATAGAGCACTAGCCTTGAGCTGAAGAGCTGAGGGACAGTGTCCAGGCCCAGAGTTCAAGCCCCACAACTGACCAAAAAAAAAGTAAAGAAAAAGGAAAAAAAAGCTGGAAATGGAGGGGTGGTTCAAGTGGTAGAGTCTTGAATGAAAAGGCTGAGACAGCACCCAGGCCCTGAGTTCATGCCTCTGTACACACACACACACACACACACACACACACACACACACAAAGGAATGTATGCAGGGCGTGTCCTGGGGGCAGATCACAGACAGTAAGCGCCAGGCTGAGGAGGCTGGTGGGCAGGGACTCAGGCTCTGGGTTGGGGGCTGTCACCTCTCTCCTGGGTTCCAAGCTGCTCCTGGTGTGTCTGTGGGGACGGCCTGGCAGGACCACTGCCCCAGGCCTGTCCTGACCTTCCCGGAGCAGGAGCTGGGGGTGGGCGCAGCGGGGCGTTGGTGGCGGGGCCGCATCAGCCTCTGCCCTCCAGCGGCCTTCTGCCTAATGGAACTGGACAGCACCTTCTCCCTCAGTGCCTCTGAGGGGGAGGAGGGCAGGCTGGGCACTCACTGAACCCTGTCAATGCCGGGCTGCTTGGCACCTGGGGTCAGGAAGGGGGAGGGGACTGAGCCTCCACACTGGGGAACCCCAAGAGGCTCTGGCTGGCTACAGGATCCAGAAATGGGGTGTAAACAGCCCTAAGGAAGGAGTCCATTTTTTTGGTTATTTTATGTGTGTGATTTGATTTTACTTTTTGCGTCTGTCCTGGGGCGTGAATTCAAGGCCTGGGCATTTCCTCTGCGCTTTTTTTTTTTTTTTCTGGTCTGTCGTGGGGCTTGAACTCTGCGCCTGGGCGCTGATGCTGAGCTCTTCAGCTCAAGGCAAGCGCTCTACCACCTGAGCCACAGTGCCACTTCCGGTTTTTGGGTGGTTCATTGGAGATAAAGACTCTCAAGGACTTTTCTACCTGGGCTGGCTTTGAACTATGATTGTCAGATCTCAGCCTCCTGAGTAGCTATGATGACAAGTGTGACTCACAGGTGCTCAGCAAGAAGGAGCCAGTTTGGGGGCTCAGGTAGAGGGGGGAGGAGGGCAGACTGCGGTGGCCTTTTCTCTATCAGCCTGCCATGTGGGGTCCTCCATCCACCATGTCCTGTGTTCCCACCCCCACCCCTCTGCCTCATCCTACACCTGCCCTGCATTCCCCTGGGGGCCAAGCTGGCCAATCAGGAGCCCTCTGCTGCACTGGCCCCACCTCCTACGCCCTGAGGCCTGATACCCATTCGCTCTCTTTCCATCTTGTGTCCACTGTTGATTCTAGATAACTCTAAGCTTCATGACAGGTCTACCTGTGGGGAGAAGGCCATAAAGAAAGCCACTCTTGCCAGGCAGCTGGTGGCTCACGCCTGTCATCCTAGCTACTCAGGAGACTGAGATCTGAGGATCATGGTTCAAAGCCAGCCACGGCGGTAAGTCCATGAGACTCTCATCCCCAATGAACCAGCAAAAAGCCCATTAGTGAAATCTGTGGTTCAGGTGGTAGAGCGCTAGCCTTAAACACACACACACACACACAGACACACACACACAGACACAGACACACACACAGACACACAGAGGAAAGTGAGAATGTGAGAATTCCATCTTCCACAGGGGAGACCACGATGGCTGGCCTGTTTCCATCAAGTGCTCTGGCTCCACCGTTCCCAGCTCAGAGTTCAGCACCCGTGGGCCCCATCCGAGTCGTCTCCAGCCCCTTCTTCTGTATTCCCCCCACCCACAGAGCTCAGGCCTGAGTCCCACTGGGAAGGGGGTACTCAGAGCAAGTGACTTCCCAGTGGCCATCTGGTGTCCGGGGAGGCGCTGGGGCGGGTGGCTTTGGGTTTGGCGTCATAGCTTCTGCCTTTGCTACAGCCAGATGGTGTCTTCTCAGACGCTGGAGGCCCCGGGACATCTGGGCATGTTCATTTGCCCAGCCAAGCTGCTGGCAGGGCCTCCCGACACAGCTGATGCTCAGTCCGGGCCGTCCTTCATCCCGCTGACCCGAGGCTGCCCCGCCTCCAGCCCGGCCAGTGTACAGCTTAGCTGGGCATCTGTCAGTACCCGGGAGCTTGCATATGGCTTTCCGTTTCTGTGTCTGTGTATCCCAAGAGTTCAAAGCTGTGTTCATAGCCATGGGGGAAAGGGATGGTGGGCGTCACCTCTGGAGACAAAAGCATTTGAGCTGATCTCCTGTATGATTTATACAGCTTGTTTTCTGTGCTGGTCCTGAGGCTCGAACTCAGGGCCTGCGAGTAGTCCCTGTGCTTTTTTTTTGGGGGGGGGGGAGGGGGTCTGGTCGTGGGCCTGAACTCTGGGCCTGGGCGCTGTCCCTCAGCTCTTCAGCTCAAGGCTAGCGCTCTACCACTTGAGCCACAGTGCCACTTCCAGCTTTTTTCTTTTTGCTTATGTGGTGCTGAGGAATCGAACCCAGGGCCTCAGGCATGCAAGGCAAGCACTCTACCACTGAGCCACCTTCCCAGCCCCATCCCTGTGCTTTCTTGATCGAGGCTAGTGCACTAGCCACAGCTCTACTTTTGTTTTTTTTCAGTGGTTAGTTGGAGGTAAGGATCTCATAGACTTTTCTGCCCTGACTGGCTTTGAACTGTGATCCTCAGGTCTCAGCCTCCTGAGCAGCTAGGATGACAGGCATGTCTTTCCCCCAATCCAAGCACAATAGAGGGAAGGGAAGGGGGCTGAGGCACCTGGCTGGGGAGCAGAGGGAAGGCCCTTGCTGGGCTCCCATGGCTCCCTGACCCCCTAGGCTCGGCTGGACACTGCTAGACCTCTGGGGGCTGAGGGCAAGCGGTTGCTTGCCATCCTTGCCATCCTTCCTGGGTTCCACCTGCATTTTCTTTCTCTTTTTTTGTCAGTCCTGGGGCTTGAACTCAGGGCCTGGGCACTGTCCCTGAGCTTCTTTGGCTCAAGGCGAGCATTCTTACCACTTGAGCCACAGCTCTACTTCTGGCTTTTTCTGTGTATGTGGTACTGAGGAATGGAACCCAGGGCTTCAAGCATGCTAGGCAAGCACGCTACCACTGAGCCACCTTCCCAGCCCCTCCAGCTGGATTTCTATGCTTTAGCCCTCTCTTTATTTCACCCAGCCGGCAAGCAGGGTCAGGTCTGTTTTTCCAAGGGCAAGAAAGAGATATACAAGTACCAAAAAATAATTTAATAGAGACGATGATGACGAGCTGCATTCTCTAACGCAGCCTCCTGCAGAGGAACTGCTGCCAAAAATGGCAGTGGAGGCAGCTAGAGATCACCAGCACTGTGCTGGGTTTTTGTTGTTGTTGTTGTTTTTGGCCAGTCCTGGGGCTTGAACTCAGAGCCTAGGTGCTGTCCCTGAGCTTTCCTGCTCAAGGTTAGTGCTCTACCACTTGAGCCACACCTTTTTGAGCCATGGCTTTTTGTTGGTTAACTGGAGATACAGTCTTTTCTGCACAGGCTGGCTTCAAATTGCAATCCCTAGATCTCAGCCTCCTGAGTAATTGGGATTATATGTGTGAGTCACCAATGCCAGCCAACACTGTGATTTTTTTTTTTGGGGGGGGGTCAGTTGTGGGGCCTGGGCCTGGGCACTGTCCCTCAGCTCTTCAGCTCAAGGTTAGTGTTCTACCACTTGAGCCATAGCACCACTTTCCAGCTTTTTCTGCTTATGTGGTGTTGAGGAATCGAACCCAGGGCCTCATGCATGCAAAGTAAGCACTCTACCACTGAGCCACCTTCCCAGCCCCAACACTGTGATTGTTAAAAAGAAACTATCAACACAGGTATCTGTCATCCTCGCTGAGATGACTGATAGATGACAGGAGGCTGAGATCTGAGGATCACAGTTCAAAGCCAGCCCAAGCAGATGTATCTGAGAGATTCTTATCTCTAATTAACCAGAAAAAAAACCCCAAAATCCAACAACTGGAAGTGGAGGTGTGGCTCAAGTGGTAGAGCACAGGTATAAGGCTTTGAAAAAGTTCAAGTCCTCCAGAAAGGCCAAAACAATACCATTGAATTAACTAAAGATGGGTCCAATCTCCTCTGGGTAAAACTCGTCTGTGCGTGGTGTGGGCCCCACTCAGAGGTGGGGAGAACCAGGCCTAGGCAGGCCCGAAGCCCAGCACGGGGCTCATTCTGTGGCCAGTCCCTGGAGAGGGCTACAGAAGGAGGATGAAGATCAAAGACCTCTACCCTGTACCGGGACAGAAACAAGACATGAGGCTCACAAAGGCGATGGCGTTCATACTTGAAGGATTGTCCTGAAGCGCCACGTGGCAGCAGGCGCTCTGTGGGGCCAAGCGCGCACTGCGGAGTGGACAGTCCTGAAGGGCCTCGGGCGCCCCCTCCAGTGAGCTGGAAGAGGGGCCCAGGGTGCAGAAGTGTCCTGTTCAGGCCCTTAACTTCTTAAGTCCACAGGGAACTTGATGCCCTGAGACGGCTCAGACCCCCTCAGGTCTCAGCAAAGAAACGTGCACGGTGGTGCACGCCTGTAATCCCAGCTACTCCATCTGAGGATGGAGTTGCAAAGCCAGATTGGGCAGAAAAGTCCAGGAGACCCTTCTCTCTCTAACCACGAAAAAGCAGCAGAGGTGTGGCTCAAGTGGTAGAGCACCAGTCTAAAAACTACTAGGCAGTGCCAAGTCCAGTTCAAGCCCCGGGACCAACACGCACATACACACACACACACATATACAAAAAAAAGGCAGGGGGGAAAGGAAAAAGAAACTCCTTCCCGAGTGTGGGCCGCAGTGCTCCCACTGCACAGACCCATGGGGTGGGGCGGGGTTCGGGGAGGCGTAGCTCGTGACGGTGGGGTCTGCGAGTGTCCAGCCAGGAAGCTCCCCAGGGACGCGTGCCATTCTGGGCATCGGCCTGGCTCAGTGTGTCCCTTCGCTCTGTCCAATGCCCCTCTGGGGTCACTGAAGGGTGCACGCTGTAGGAAGGGGGGCATGGGAGACTCAGGACTTTGGCAAGAATGGCCAAAGCCACCCCCCCCTCCACCCCGTCATGGCAGCCGGGGCCAAACTCACAGCTGCGAACTGATTCCGACAGGCCCTCTCGGTCCAGGCTGTCCGTTCCCCATGGAGAGCCCTTCATCTGCAGGATGGGTTGAGGCCGTCGAGTCAGGCCCGGGACCTCAGCATGCACCACGCAGATGAACAGGACCCCCTGCCCCCCCCCCCCCCGGGGCCGTTCCCGCCACGCCCACCTTAACCCGCTCCTTCAGGTACTCAGCTCGAGCCATGAGGCTCTGGACCTGCAGGGAAGACAGGCCCGTGAGACCCCGCGTGCCCATGCCGATGGCTCCCTCCTCCACGAAGCCTTCCAGGGTTGCAGCAACCCCTAGGCCCCCCGTTCCCAGCCCTGGTGGGCACCTCAGCGTGCAGCAGCTCCCGCCTCCGGCCCGCGGGCTCCCCTGGAAAGAGAGCAGGCGGTGAGGGCAGGGCGGCCAGCGGCCTGGGGGCACCAGGGTTTTGGGGGGGGGGAAATGCTGGGGCCTCACCCGCCAGCAGTAGCAGCAGCTCCCCCAGGCTCTGCTGGTACAGATCCAGGGCGTCCTGCTCCCCGCCAGCTTCCTCCTCCTGCGGCCACGCAGTCACGCGTCGCGGGTCACGCCAGTCCCCCGGGGCTCCCTGCCCTCCACCCCGCCCACCGGGACACACCTTGGCCGTGGCCGCTGAGGCGATGTCCAGGGCGGCTAGGAGGCGCGGCTTGTCCCGGGCCATCTCTGGGGTGAGGGGCAGAGGTGGGGGTGAGGGAGATCCCCTTGGGCTGGGGGGGGGCCCGGATGGTCAGCCAGGAGCCGCGGGGGGTACTTACCTCTGAGCAGGTCTCGGCCCGAGGCCCCCTGGCCCAGCAGGGCCTGGTTGGAGGAGGTGACCACAGCCTTGAGCTCCTCGGCGCGTGACACGTACTGTCCCACCTGTGGAGGGGCAGAGGGAAGCCCCAGCCGCCCGGCGGCACCCCCCCACCCCCACCCCACCCCCACGTCAGCAGTGATGTCCCTTGGCGGTCACCACCCCCCAGAGGCTTGGGACCCCTGGGCCCTCCCCGCAACCCCAACGACCTCACCCACCTTTGCCTTAATCATTTCCTTCCGCTGGGCATCCACTTCATCTGCAGGAAAGGGGTTCATATAAGCAGTCTGGGGGGGGGGGGGGCGGGGGGAAACCTCTGCCTTACACAAAACCCTCCAGAATCCTCCCCGCAAAAACACCCCAGCTCCAGGTGGATCCTCTACCTTGTCCCCTGTAAGGTTTGCTTTTGTTTTTGGTGCCAGCCCTGGGGCTTGCACTCAGGGGCTGGGCACTGTCCCTGGGTCTTTAGATCAAGGATGGCGCTCTATCACTGGAGCTTCAGCTCTACTTCCGGCTTTCCGGTGTTAACTGGACATGAGAATCTCTTGAATTTGTCTGCTCAGGCTGCTTAAGAATGGTGAGCCTTGGGGCTGGGAAGGTGGCTCAGTGGTAGAGCGCTTGCCTTGCATGCATGAGGCCCTGGGTTCGATTCTTCAGCACCACATAAGCAGAAAAAGCCGGAAGTGGCGCTGTGGCTCAAGTAGGAGAGTATTTGCTTTGAAGCTGAAGAGCTGAGGGACAGCGCCCAGGCCCAGAGTTCAGGATGACAGGTGTGAGCCACAGGTGCCAGGCTCTCTTGTAAGACTCTAGATGGGGAACTGTGGGGCCCATCACTGAAGCTAGAGCTGACACCCCCACTCTGAACCCAGGGCTGCGGGGCCTGGGGCGGGGCACTCACAGTGCAGGGCAGGCACAAAGAAGTCCAGAGCCTTGCAGTAGAGGGAGAGGGCAGCCGCAGCGTCCCCCTCCTGGTCCTTCTTCACGGCCTGGACCACCAGCGCTGTCTGGGGCAGTCAGGACCACCGCCATCAGCCCCTCAGCCCACCCCGGGCCTCGGTGGCCCAGGCCCTGTTCCCCACCGGAAGGGGTGGAGGGGACCCCACACCCTCCATGCTGGCTCACCGCCCGGGCCATGCTCTCCCCGCTGGGCATGTGCTCCAGGTCCACCCACGGGTGGGCAAAGAAGTCCTGGAAGGAGATGCGGTGGCTGGGGTCCCGCACCAGGAGTCTCGTCAGCAGGTCTCGGCATTCTGGGGAGAGCGGGGGCCGCAGGGGGAGCTGCAGGAGGGGTGAGGCGGGGCGGGTCACCTGGGGCCTGTTGGGACCCACAGGGACATATCTGACAGGCAGAGACTCGGACCACAGGGAAGAACGCGTGGTCAAGGGGCTGACCATGAAGCCTCCTTCCCCGGAGAAAATGGCCCGGTTCTGCTGTGGCCTTCTTGTCTGTGTGTGTGCTGGTTCTGGGACTTGAACTCAGGATCTGGGCGCTGTCCCAGAAATCTTGTGCTCAAGGCTAGCGTCCTACCACTTGAACCACAGCTCCACTTCTGGCTTTTGTGGTGCTTCACTGGAGATAAGAGTCTCACTGACTTTCTTGCCTGGGCTGGCTTTGAACTGTGATCCTCAGATCTCAGCCTCCTGAGTAGCTGGGATGACAGGCGTGAGCACCAGCGCCTGGCTGCTGTGGTCTCCTAGACCAAGGCCGACACAGCAGTCTGCAAAACAGGCCCTTTGCTGCCTGCCATGGCTAACTTGAGAGTCCCTGGAATGAGCCAGAACCTTCCAGATGTAGGCTCTGGAGCAGGGCCCACTGACAGGAAGGCAGCGTGGGGTGCACCGGAATCTGTGCAGACAGGGGTCCCCACCAGCTGTCAGCAAGGCCCTGAGGGGCTCACCTCGATAACCCGGTTACTACGGATCTTCTCCTCCAGCTCTGAGAAGGACCTGGAGGCAAACGGGGGCTGCCCGAAGAGGGCTTCTGCGGAGGGAGGCAGAGGCGAGGCTGGGGGGGTGGGCAGAGCCTGGCCCACCCCTCAGGAGGGGGCCTAGAGCCCCCCAGAGCAGGGATCCTGGCACTCAGGAGTGGCCTGAGGGTCCACGGTGGCGGGGAGCAGGGGACCGAGGTCTCACCATACAGGATGACCCCCACAGACCAGAGGTCCACGCGGGCGTCATAGTGCCGCCGACACACCATCTCGGGAGCCATGTAGAGGGGAGAGCCCCGGAGCACGTGTTTCTCATCCCACGGGGACATGTGCTGTGCAAAGCCGAAGTCTGCGGATGGAAGGCCGGGAGGCAGGGCTCAGATCCCAGCGGCTCCCGCTCCTCATCTGCTCCAGCCGCAGGGTGGTTCCAAGCCAACTCACACCGACCATCGTGTTCCCCAGCACACGCTCACCTTGCCTGCAGCACCCGCCTGTGTGTGTGTGTGTGTGTGTGTGTGTGTACTGGGACTTGAACTCAAGGCCTGGGTGCTAGCCCTTAGCTTTTTTTGGCTCAAGGCTGGTGTTCTACCACCTGAGCCAGAGCTCCACTTTTGGCTTTTTGCTAAGTTAACTGGAGAGAAGTGTCAGTAGAGTTTCCCAGCCTGGGATGGCAGCAAAGTGTGATCCTCAGAACTCAGCCTCCTGAGTAGCTGGGATTACAGGTGTGAGCCATAACACTCTCCTGTATCTCCCTCTGCAAAGCCCCTCGGGCACCTTTGTACCGGGAGGGCTATCTGGAGGCTGGACCAGCCCTTTGTGGTCTCCCCTACATCAGACTTAGGCCATGCAGTGTTTGTTGGCCTCCAGCCTCAAATCCATTCTTTTTTTTTCCTGGTGCTTGAACTCAGGGTTCTAATTCTTGCTTGGCTTTTTTGCTCAAGCTGGTGCTCTAACACTTGAGCCACCCCTCCACTTTAGCATTTTGCTGGTTCACTGGAGATGATAGTCTCACAGACTTTTCTGGCAGAGCTGGCTTCAAACCACCATCCTCAGATCTCAGCCTCCTGGACCCCAGCTCTGCCCACGCCACTGCCGGGGTGGGCAGCCTGAGAAAAGTGCAGGCTTCTGGAGATGGGCCTGGCCCTGGATGTCTGATGGTCGCTTTCTGATGTTTTACTTAGAGGTGGCCTTCCTGAGAGCCAAGCAGAGGACAAATGTTGCTCTGCTACCCTAAACCCTTGCCCGGGCTGCTCCAGACTCAAACCTGCCAGTTTCAGGTGGGGCTTTTCCAGAGAACTCAGCAGAATGTTCTGTGGCTTCAGATCCAGGTGAGAGATGTTCCTCTCATGCAGAAACTGCAGGGCACTGGCTGGAGAAGAAGACAGAGAGACAGGTCAGAGGAGCGCTTTCCATCTGCCTCTCCCAGACAATCCGCCCCACAAAGCCTTACAACCCCCTGCAGGGCCTGGCTGATCTGCATACAAGCAGCAAACTCTTGCCAGTTCTTTTTTAAGTGTGTGTGGGGGGGGGAAGTGTTGGTACTGGGCTTGAACTTAGGGCTCTGAACTCTCATTTGGCTTTTTTTTTTTGCTCAAGGACAGCACTCATTTCTTGAACCATAGCTCTAGCTCCACTCCCAAATTTTTGCTGGTGAATCAGAGAGAAGAGTCTCACAAACTTTCCTGCACAAGCTGTCTTTGAACCTTGATCCTCAGATCTTAGCCTCCCGAGTAGGTAGAATGGCAGTTGTGAGCCACCAGCACCTGGCTCTTTACACTTCTAAGAGTCTGCTGTTTCCAGAATGCTCTCTGGGCTTGCTCTGAGCGCTTCACAAGTCTCTCCTCCCTCGGAAGCCTGAACAGCCAGAGCCTTTTGGAAACATATGCTTTTCCTTGCTAACACACTTGGGTTCCACTAACCCTGCTCTGGAATGTTCCACCCTGAAGGTGGAGGCTTCTCCATCTTTCAAAGTATCCCACACCTAGGAAGATGGGAAACAAAGGAGAGGCTTTCAGAATTAAGCCTGGCAGTGGGCAACTGCAAAGCCCGGCCTGGGTAAAGACCAGGGAAGACAGTAAGGATCTCAAGTTTGGATCTGAGGCTTTTTACCCAACTGCTGCATGAAGACTCGGGCCACCTTCTCAGGCAGAATCCTGCGAGTATGGATGAAGCGAGACAGGTCACCTCCAGCACAGAACTCCATGATGAGGTAGATGTTGTCACTGTCCCACTGTGGTTAGAGGTAGAGAGGAGATCAGAAGACAGTGTCTTTTCTTTCTCCAGTCCCCCCAGCCCCCGTTTTTTTTCCCCCATCATGGGTCTTGAACTCTGGGCCTGGGCTCTGTCCCTGAGCTCTTCAGCTCAAGGCAAGTGCTCTACCACTTGGACCATAGCGCCACTTCCAGTTTTCTAGTGGTTAATTGGAGGAAAAAAAATCTCACAGCCTTTCTCGCCCAGGCTGGCTTTGAACCGTCATGCTCTGACCTCAGCCTCCCGCTAGCTAGAATTACAGGTGTGAGCACCAGCACCTGGCCCCTGCTTCCTTTTTGTGCCAGTACTGAAGCCTGAACTCGGCCCAGGTGCTGTCCCTAAGCTTTTTCATTCAAGGCTAGTGCTCTAGCGCTTGACCCACAGCTCCACGTTCAGCTTTTCAATGGTTAATTGGAGATAAGAGCTTTCTCAAGCACTGACTTCAAACTGTGATCCTCGGATCTCAGCCTCCTGGGTAGCTAGGATGACAGGCGTGGGTCCCTGTGCCCTGCCTTCTGCCCCTTCGGGGGAGTCCCATCCCAGGTTGTACCTGGAAGTCTTTCAGCTGCACGATGTGGGGGTGTCGGATGTCCTTAAGGATCTGGATCTCGGTGAGGAGGTTTTCCACGGAGGCCTTGTTTAGACTTTTCTTCGCCACACACTTAATGGCAACCACTTCGCGAGTGTCCTTCTAGGGGACAGGAGAGTGGGGCTCTGCAGTAGAGGGCGGCCAGGGCCGCGGCTGGCTGCAGGGGCTCCGGCCGCTCTGCTCCCGCCCCTCAGCCTGGGCCTGACCTCTCTCAGCTCTCCACCCCCAGGTCAGCCTCCGGCATGCCGACCGTACTCAGTCCGGGCCAAGGAAGTATCTGGAACCTGGATCTGGGTTCCGGACCCACTGCGGCTGCCTAGCCCGACCCGCAGCCCGACCCGGTGCTCTCCGACCCGCAGCGACGCAGCCGTGACCCTGCGCTGCAGGGCGGCCCCAGCCGTGGCCGGTCCCTGCCACTGATGCAGTCCACCACTCCCGCCTCGCGGCCGGCCTGCGGACTCCGCCCCGCCCGCGGCGCGTGCCTGTGTGTGCGCGTGCGCGTGCCTGTGTGCGCGTGCCTGTGTGCACGCGCCTGTGTGTGCGCGTGCCTGTGTACGCGCGCGCCTGTGTGCGCGCGTGCAGTCCCGGCCCGCCCGCGGCGCGTGCCTGTGTGTGCGCGCGCGTGCCTGTGTGCGCGTGCCTGTGTGTGCGCGTGCCTGTGTGTGCGCGTGCCTGTGTGTGCGTGCCTGTGTGTGCACGCGCCTGCGCCTGTGCGCGCGCGCGCCTGTGTGTGCTCGTGCAGTCCCGGCCCGCCCGCGGCGCGTGCCTGTGTGCGCGTGCCTGTGTGCACGCGCCTGTGTGTGCGCGTGTCTGTGTGCGCGCGCCTGTGTGCGCGCGCGCCTGTGTGTGCGCGTGCAGTCCCGGCCCGCCCGCGGCGCGTGCTTGTGTGCGCGCGTGCGCGCGCAGTCCCGCCCGCCTGCGTCGCGTGCCTGTGTGCACGCGTGCCTGTGTGTGCGCGTGCGCGCGCAGTCCCGCCCGCCCGCGGCGCGTGCCTATGTGTGCGCGTGCCTCTGTGTGTGCGCGCGCACGCGCAGTCCCGCCCGCCCGCGGCGCGTGCCTGTGTGTGCGCGTGCGCGCGCAGTCCCGCCCGCCCGCGGCGCGTGCCTGTGTGCGCGCGTGCGCACGCAGCCCCGCCCGCCCGCGGCGTCGCGCCCCACGCGGGCTCGGGGCCGCGGTCCCGCGTCCCTCCGGGACGGCCCGCCCACGCTCACCTTGGCGTAGGCTTTGTACACCGTGGCGTACGTGCCACTGCCCAGGCGCTCGGTGAGGATGAAGCCGTCCAGCCGCGGGGGACCCCAACCGGGACCCGCCATCACTCGCCCGCCCGCCCGCGGCCTTCCGGGTTCCCAGCGCCGGTTCCGGCCCGGGCGCGCCGATCCCTGCGTGCGTCTAGGGGGCTGGGCTCCACGCGGCCCGCCCCGCCCGCCGGAAGCGCAGCGGGGCCCCGCCCCTAGTCCACTAAGTCCCGCCCCCGGGCCCCTCCTCATACCGAAGCCCCGCCCCAAGCCCCTCCTCGTGCCGCGAAGCCCCGCCCCTAGATCTAGGTCTGGCGTCTGGGCCCTTACTCCTGCCGCGAAGCCCCGCCCCCGGCCGCAAGGCCCCGCCCCTCCCTCCTCCCCCCGCCCACCCCCTGCACAGGACGGCTTGGGAGCCCTGCGGGGTCCGATGCCTGGAGGTCCCCCACATGCCGTCCGGGTGCTGGGGCCGGGGGCTCAGCGGTGCCCGAGTGCGGGGATGGGGAACACCCTTCGGTAAGGGCCAGGCTGCGTCCCCAGTCCGCTCATCTTCACCAAGGCAGCAGGACCGGGGCTCTCTGAAAATGTCTTTATTTAAGCACAAAAATGGAGACATACATATACATTTGTACATGGAGGAAAAAAAATACCAGAAAGTTTACAAAACCCTGGTGGCTGTCGTCCGCGGGTGTAGACCGGTGCGGTCTGACGGCCCCGGCTGGGCCCACGGGCCGAGGCTGGCAGCTGGGGCCGAGTTCCACGCCCACACCAGCTGCCCAGCTCTGCGGGGCAGGGCGCAGGCTTCACCGGGGCCTCCTGGTGCCCGCTGCCGAGACACACCCGGAGACCACTAGAGTGGAGGGGACCTAGCCTCTACTGCGGTGTGGGAGACAGCCAGGAAAGGTGGTTCGGCAGTCCCGCCTGCAGGACCCGGTTTCTGGGGTGACCCCCGCCCTCCCTAGGAGCCATCCAAGCTGGGTACTGCTGAGGGTGAGGTTGGGAGTGTGGCTAAGGCACAGGGCAGGGCAGCGGGCCTACGGGAGGACAGGAAGTCAAACCAAACAGAGCCAAGCAGATCATACCGGGAAGCCAGACTTCCCAAAACACTGCCAGAGACTGGGCAGCACAGCCCTGTGAACAACCTTGTCCATCTCTCCCCATCCTCCAAGGCCAACCGACCCATTATACATTCAGAAAGTCTGAAGGGCTCGGGGAGGGCTCCCAGGGGCACCAGGGGTAGGCGCACTGGGACCATGCAGGGGCCTAAAGGTGGCTTGGATCTGTCCATGAGGAATATGGGTAGCCAGCCTGGAGGTCCTGGAGACCACTGCACAGTGATCTGGGGAGAAGAGCGACGGGCTAGCCTGCTCCTCCACACTGCAGCCCCCGAAAGGGGGGAGCTATCCAGCCTGAGCAGGTGGGGCAGGCGTGGTGAGGCCACAGGCTCTACCCACAGAATCTGACTGAGGCCAGGCCCACCGGAAAGGAGTGGAGTCTAGGCTGCCAGCTAACTATTCCTGGTGGAGTGGGGCCTGGCTCGGCAATGATCTCGTGTGTATGTGCACGCGTGTGCGTCCTCCTGCGTGTTTCAGGAGGAAAGACAGCTTTCACTCAAAAGGACTTTTTGCTTCCAGACAAAACCCCTACCAAACCATTACCAGAGAAGGAAAAGACAGTTATGTTATTTTTGCTTTTCTCGCATGTAAAAAAAAAAAAATCCCTGTCCCTGCCCCCGCCCTTCCCTGGGGTCCTGGGGTCCTGGGGGAGGCGCTGATTGCTGAGGAAGGAACCCCGCAGGTCTGTGCTGGGCAGAGCCACTGCATAAAGCACCCATGGCAAGTGCAGCTCAGAAGGCAGGCGAGAGAGGAGGCCGGGGCAGGAGGGCAGTCAGGAGGCTTAGTTGCCCTGGAAGGCTCCCTGGGCGGCAGAGGTGGCAGCACTGCGGAAGGTTCTGTTGCTGAAGATGCCCTGGGAGAACTCCTCCTGGGCCTGCTGGAAGCTGGCTCCCGTGCGCCGGTAGAAGGAGTGCACCTGGGTGGAGGCTGGGGTGAGGACCCTGCCCCGGGGTGCCCAGGCCTGGCCACCTAAGCCACACTCTAACAGGGGCTGCCTACAGCCCAACCCTGCCTGGCTGCCCGCCCCACAGCCTCACACCAAGGCCCTGGACCTCTGGGGGCCCAAGTGTGGAGGTGATGGGAGGGGGCAGGAGTTTGCTGGGTTGCTGTGGCAGCTCCCCCGGCGCCTCCCCAGTCCACTTACCCGCTGGAGGAGGAAGAGTGAGAGGCCAGCACAGAGGGTGAAAAAGCCGGCGACCACCATCATGATGATCGACACAGCCAAGGGTCCTTGATGAATGGAAGACAGGGCTGCCAGCCAACCACTAGAGGGAAGCCAGGTCGGTGGGAGGAGTCAGTACTGGCCCCGCCCACCACCTGGGCACCTACCAGTCTGTGGGCCTCCGTCCCCCGCTATGGGGGTTGGCACTGACAAGGGGGCTGGGCACTGCGCAGATGCCCCAATGCAGCCTCCCACAGGGAATCTAGACCGTGAAAGTCTGGAGCGAGGTGTCAGGTGCAGCAGTGGGCTGGGCCTCGTCCCATGCGTGGGGGGGGCGGGCACAGGCCGCCTCCATCCTCACTCCTGAGGCATCGCTCTGGGGAGGAAGAAGCCTGGCCCCTTCATCCGGTCACCTCGGCTTCTCTCGCCAGGACCCAGGGACTCTGTCTGTCTTTAACAGATCATGTCACTTGCTGAGCCCCAGTATCCTCAACCTCTCAACCCATAAAGGGACATTCTCATGCTTTTTTTTTGCCAGTCCTGGAGCTTGAACTCAGGATCTGAGCACTGTCCTAGAGCTTCTTTTGCTCAAAGCTAGTGCTCTCCACTTGCGCCTCAGAGCACCACTTCTGGCTTTTCCTGTGTATGTGGTACTAAGGAATCGAACCCAGGGCTTCATGCATGCTAGGAAAGCACTCTACCACTGAGCCACACAGCCCTCCTCTTACTTTTTGATTTCAAAAGCTTACTACAAAGCCACAGAAATCAAAAGAACACATGGGCCTGGAGAAAGAAACCCCAGATCTATGGCCCGAGAGATAATGGAGAGGATCCAGGAATCTACAAACAAACCCAAATTCCTACCAACTAAGTAAGTGTTGACAAGAGTATTAAAACCAAAGAAGAAAAAATCGTTTCTTCAACCAGGAAGGTGCCAGTGGGGCAAGGCCTGTAATCCCAGCCACTCAGGAAGCTGAGATCTGAGAATCAAGGTTCAGGGCCAGCCCAGGCAGAAAAGCCCCAAGACTTTATATACAATTAACCGGCAAAAATGCCAAACTAACTGGGTAGTCATTCTAGCTTCTCTGGAGACTGAGATCTGAGACTCATAGTTCAAAGCCAGCCTGGGCAAGAGTCTCTGAAACTTTTTTTTTGTCAGTTGTGGGGCTTGAACTCTGGGTCTGGGTACTGTCCCTCAGCTCTTCAGCTCAAGGCTACCACTTGAGCCACAGTACCACTTCTGGTTCTCTGAGTGGTTTATTGGAAATAAGAGTCTCATGGACTTTCCTGCCCAGGCTGGCTTTGAACCTTGATCCTCAGATCTCAGCCTCTTGAGTAGCTAGGATTACAGGTGTGAGCTACTGGCACCCGGCTGTGAAACTCATCTCCAATGAACCACCAGAAAACCAGAAGTGGAGCTGTGGCTCAAAGTGGTAGAGGGCTGGTCTTGAGCAAAAGAGCTCAGAGACAGTGCCCAGGTCCTGAGTTCAAGCCCCACAACCAACAACAACAAAAAAAAAAACAGGCAAACTAAAGGTTTGGCTCAAGTGCTAGAGTACCAGTCTTGAGCAAACAAGACAGTTAATTGATCACAGCTTTGCTACCAGGATCTTGCTTGGGGCCATCAACCACAAGAGGCCAGACTAGAATCAGCAGGGAGACTGGAAGCAGGGACCAAAATAAAAGTCTCCAGGCTCACATGCTCAGGCAAAGGGCAGCCTGACCTTTCGGCAGTGCTCCCTGCGCAAACTGGGGTAAGGAAGGAAGATGGGGGACTCAAGGAGGACGGCAGGATGCAGCCAGCCAGGGAAGGTGGAGCCATCTCTGCAGGCCCTAGGCCTCTGGAGAAAGGTGTGCAGCTCTGGGGCTGTGAAAGCCTGAGCCTCCATCGGCCTGCAGGCAAGTGTGACAAGGGAAAAGCCGCAGTCCTAACAGTTCAAGCCAAGTCCACGCATACCCCACAGCAGAGAGCACGGCAGACGGGAAAGGCTACTGATAAGGAACTGGAAAGGGGCCGGAGCCCGTGGCTCACGCCTGTCATCCTAGCTACTCAGGAGGCAGAGATCTGAAGATGACCGTCTGTGATGAAAGTCTGTGAGATTCCTCTCTTATTACCTGCCCTAGTCTGTGTAAAGGCCCTGGGTTCCATCCCCAGCAGGATAGAAAGAAAAAGAAAAAACAGGAGTCCAAGATGGATCTAAGCAGGCCTAGGAGTTCCTCCTTTCATGGCAAAAGTGGGGCTCTTCTACATCACCCAAAACAAATTCCCTCTGTAATGCCCCAAGTCTCACCTGGTGCCCAGGTTAGGCAAGCCAATCAACTGGATGAAGTAGATCCCTATTTGACAAAAAAACACGAAGAAGAACACGAAGAAGCTGAAAGAGTTGTCGGACCTGTGGGGAGATAGGGAAACGGGCAGTCACGAGGGTTGGCCCATGTTTCTCCACTCCTTTGTGGGTGTGACGCCTCTCCTCACGGAGCCAGGGGACAGGGAGACAGGGCCCCACGGCCTAGCCACATGTCCCTAAGGACGTGCACACGCAATGCCGCCACAGTGGAAATGCGTTGCCTCCTGCTGCGTAGAGTTCTGATCAAGATGGTCCCTCAAGGCATAATATAGCTGGACACTGGTGACTCCCACCTGTATCCCAGCTACTCAGGAGGCTGAGATCTGAGGATCACAGTTCAAAGCCAGCCTGGGTTAGGAAAAGTTTCTGGACTCTTATCTCCAATAAATCACCAAAACTGTGGCTCAAGTGGTAGAGTGCTAGCCTTGAGCAAAAAAGCTCAGGGACAGTACCCAGGCCCTGAATTTAAGCCTCAGGACTGGGGGCCAGATAAGTGCACAATATAAACAGCCTAGCAACCATCTCCTGCAGTGCTTGCTGCATGCAGTACCACCAGGAAAGAAAGTCAAGGCCAAAGGCACAATCATAAAAACACTGCAGACCAAGGGCTGAGGATGTATGCGAGGCTCTGAGTTTGATCTCCAGAACCAAAACTCCCCTGGGTACAAGAAGTATTTTTTCTTTTTTTTTTTTTTGGTCAATCGTGAGGCCTGAACTCTGGGCCTGGGCGCTGTCCCACAGCTCTTCAGCTCAAGGCTAGCACTTTACCACTTGAGCCATAGCACCACTTCTGGCTTTTTTCTGCTTCTGTGATGAGGAATCGAACCCAGGGCCTCATGCATGAGAGGCAAGCAGTCTACCACTGAGCCACCTTCCCAGCTTCTGCAACAAGTTATTTGAGAAGTCAGTGGCTCACATCTGTAATCCTAGTTACTCAGGAGGCTGAGATCTGAGGGCAGGTTCAAAAAGCCATGTGGGGCAGTAAAGTATTAGACTTTCATTGCCAATCAACCAGCAGAAACCCAGAAGTGGAGGTGTTGTTCAAGTGGCAGAACACCAGCCTTGAGTGAAAAAGCTAAACAAAGCACAAGAGTCTGAGTTCGAGCCCCAGTACCACCACCAAAAACAACAAAAAAAGAAGTAGGATCTGGTAATACCAACATTGAATAAACTCCCCGGGGGCTTGAGTGGCGCGGTGCACCTGTATGCCCTTGAGTACTGGAATGCAGTGGGGGCTCAGGCAAGGGGGTCCTGGACAAGGGGGTCCTGCTGGGACCCCAGATCTCAAGGCATCAAGTGTGACCCCAGGGACCTGGGGGAGGGGGCCCACACAAACTCAGGCTCACAGGACTGGCCGCTGAGTGTGCCCACCTAGCGCTCTACAGAGACTGACTCAACCGTTGAGAGGAAGTCCTGGGGCTTGAACTCAGGGCCTGGGCACTGTCCTTGAGCTTCTTTTCCTCAAGGCTACACTCTACCACTTGAGAGCCACAAGGCCACTTCCCATTTTTATGTGGTACTGAGGAATCGAACCCAGGGCTTCATGCATGCTAAGCACTAAGCCACACTCCCTGCCCAATTTCAGCTTTTTGGTGATTCACTGGAATTAATAGTCTCAGGGACTTTCCTTCCCAGGCTGGCTTTGAACCTCAACCCTCGCAGCTCAGCCTCCTGAATAGCTGGGATTACAGGCGTGAGCTACTGGTGTTTGGAGAAGAGTTACCTATTTTCAGCACCTGCCCACAAGCCAAGTTCCCTCCCAATAAGGACGGGGCCTGGGCAGGCCTGAGGTACAACTGAGGAAAGGGGCTCGTGATCCTGGCTCTGTCAGGCGGGCACAGGAAAGCTGAGCCCCAGACAGGGGCCTGGGGCCTGGGACCCAGCCACACCCTCACCCCTTGCGCCCACTCTACTCACCTAAAAGCCTTGTAGATGGGTCGGTACCAACAAAGGAAGGCACAGGGGGTGAAGATCACAAACCACAGGATGGAGAGACCGAAGGCCGTTCCTCCGCCGCCGGCCATGTCGCTGGTGAACCAGGCCAGGCACGCAAGCAGGTTCAGAAACAGAGTCAGTGAGTGCACTGGGGGAGGGCAGGGAGAGACGGGGCTTGAGCCAAGATGGGTGAAGGGCTTCCCCACGGGGCGCCCGCCCTAGGACAGGAGATGAGGACCATGCTGGGAGGACTGGGTCTGGCCGAGGCAGGGTGAGCTTCCAGTCCCGGCTTCCTAGGCCCTCACACCAGGAACAACAAGCCTCCCTGTCTCCAGGAGGCAGGTGGGGGGCCGCACTCAGGGCGGGGCCTTAAGAAGTGACCTAGCGCCCCCTTCTTCATCCAGGGGGCCTAGAGGCTTTTCACTACTATGTACCACTTGTTTTTGGTGCCAGCCCTGGGACTTGAACTCAGATCCTAGGGCACCATCCCTGAGCTTTTTGGCTCAAGACTAGTGCTGCACAGCTTTGAGCCATAGCTCCCCTTCCAGCATTTTTGGTAGCTAATCAGACATAAAGAGTCTCCCGGGCTTTCCTGCCTGGGCTGGCTTTTAGCTGTGATCCTCTGATCTCAGCCAGTGAGACACGAGTGCCTGGCTACAGGCCGCTTGCTACAGGAATTGCCCAGGGACTTGAAGTCTCCTTGCTTAGCTGGCCCTCTTGAGACGGTTCCCGAACAGGGAGCGCCTGTGGGTGCAAGGACCGTGCACTCGGCCCCGGCAGGGCAACATCCGCAGAGACCCGACACGGCAGGGAAAGACACGCATGGCAGGGACGCCGGCAGGAGTGGGACTCACACATCCAGAGATAGTAGAGCATCTTGCAGATGCGCTGGTAGTCGGCGGGGATCTCGGTGGAGAAGTCCTGGTAGAAGCAGGGCTTGACGGGGCACCAAGAGGGCAGGGGGGGCCAGTTGTTCTCCCGCACTGCAGGAGACAGGAAGTGAGGGAGGGTCCAGCCTCAGGAGCAGCAACAAGCTGGGCCCTGGTAGCCTACGCCTGTAATCCCAGCCACTCAGGAGGCTGAGATCCAAGCATCGTGATCTGGAGTGAACTTGGGGGAACAGACAACTTCCAAAGACACTTCTCTCCCTCCAATTAACCGGCAAAAAGCTGGAAGTAGCGGTGTGGGGTCAAGTGGTAGAGTGCCAGCCCTCTGTGGAAAAACTATGCAAGAACATGAGCACCAGTACTGGCATGTACACACACAGAGCAAAGAATTTCAGAGCTGGGATGGAGTGCTGAAATTTTCTACATTGGTTAGGACCCATGGCAGGTATCTTAACTTTTTTTTTTCTGTCTGTCTGCTGTCCCTTATTCTTCAGTTCAAGGCTAGTGCTCTACCACTTGAGCCACAGCGCCACTTCCAGCTTTTTCTGTTTATGTGGTGCTGAGGAATCGAACCCAGGGCCTCATGCATGCAAGGCCAGCACTCTACCATTGAGCCACTTTCCTAGCCCTATTTTTGTGTGTCTTTTTTTTTTTGGTCGGTCATGGGGCTTGAATTCTGGGCCTGGGCGCTGTCCCTCAGCTCTTCAGCTCAAGGCTAGGGCTCTACCACTTGAGCCACAGCGCCACTTCCCTAGCCCTATTCTTTTTTACTGGAGCTGAGTCTCACGGAGTTTGCTGCCCTGGCTGGCTCGGAACCTCAATCCTCAGATCTCAGCCTCCTGAGTAGCACCCAGCCTGTCTTCACTTTCCTCCCCAGGACTGACAACCTCTGAGAACATCAGAAGCTCTGGCAGCTCTGCAGATGCCCAGGAGAAAGGCGGCTCAGGTGGGTGTGGGGAGGGCTCCTTGCATGGCCAGCCTCTCCCGCACCGGCCAGGGCCTTGGCAGCCTTCCCTTACCATGCAAGTTAGCTGCGGTGTTTTGTAGCTCGCGCTCCTTGCGCTCGAGCTCAGCAGCTTTCCTGTCCAGTTCTTCCTGCTGCCGGAGCAGGCCTGCCTGGGCTGCAGCCACCACAGCCTGGAGAGAATGGGGACCGGAGGCAGCCAGACACAAAGACAGAAGGACAGTGTCAACCTAGGCAGATGGGCAGAGCCCGGGACAGTACCCCTCCCCCACAGCATGTCTGAGGGACCAGGAGCTCCACAGTGATGGGCCAAGGGGACCCATCTCCTTGCACCCCCATACCACCTCTGACTCTTTGCCCACTCCAGGGCTCTCCTGTCCTTCAGCCCTGAAATGTCCCCTTGACCACTTCTTATAGACACTTTTGAAGGTAAAGGAATGGGGGGAAAGACCTCACAAGAGACCTGGCTGAAGTCAGAACCCAGAGATCCAGGTTGTGTGCAGAGTTGGGGGCGGGGAGGAGTAGAGTGGGGACCAGGAAAAGCTGGCAGCGGGGGGCACGTGCAGGGCAGGCTGTGCATGCAGGGCAGGCTGTGCATGCAGGGCAGGCTGTGCATGCAGGGCAGGCTGTGCGCAGGGGGCCATGGGGAGAGTGGGGACAGTGAAGAGCTGGCAGCAGGGGACACATGCAGGACAGGCTCTGTGTACTGGAGCCCAGGGGTTTGCACTCTCTTGGCCCACCCTATACCCCTCGTGATTGGCCAACCATCTAAGGACCGCCCTGCTCTGCCTGGCTTCCATGCATGCCGAGGCCAAGCTCTTCCTCCTGGGCAGGCAGAACTCGGCCTGGGGCTCTGCTGCTGCTACTGGCCACCCCGGTTCCTGCTGGCTTCCTTGCGGGGAGCAGATGGCACATGGGTCCTCTTACAGACCAGAGGGGTCACACTGAGGCGGTGAGGTCGGGAGAACCAAGCACACAGTACCTCACTGAGGGTCTCAAGCCCCAACTCCCCAAGTCGCACCGGTGCCTCCAGGAGCAGGGCTGGGTCCCTGCAGACCACCCTAGGCTTGAGCCCCGCCGTGCTCGGGGGCTGCCTGGCCCCCCTCGTGCTCCCCTAGGCTGGGCCTACCTTGGGCAGCTTTCGCAGGTAGCTGTCTCTGAGGATATTATCTCCTCCTAGCAGCATCTGCCTCTCTGAGAGCTCGCCCGCCGCCAGCAGCCGGGCGGGAAGGAACTTGCTGGCCTGCCTAAGCTGGAACACACAACTCCACTGTGGGATGCGCTCGGGGGGCAGCCAGGGGCCCAGAGGAGGGCGGGAAGGGGATGGGGGGGGGAGGGGGTAAGCACAAAGCAGACGAGGGTCACCGGACTTGGGGATGGGACAAGAAGAAGTGGGAAGACAGAGGCAGGAATAAGGAGATTGGGGGGGCGGTGGGGAGGAGACAGGCAGGGAATGGAGCTCAGCAGCAGAGCCTGGGTTTAACATGCACTGCGTGAGCCCCAGCTGTGCGCGCATGTGCACAGAGAAGGCCGCATGCGCCCTGGGTGGGGGGGCAAATGCTCTCCGTAAGCAGAGGGTATGGTGGGGTGGCGGTTGGTGGCAGTACCGACGGGCAAGGTGGTCTCTCCACTTGCAAGTGACCATAGATCTACAGGGACTGGCAAGGGGGTCCTCTCCCCACCAGCAGCCTGGGGTCCCGGTCCGGGTCTGGGTGGCCTCCCTCAGGAGAGGAGAGCCCCAGCAACCATCATACCTGGGGGTGCGGCTCCGTGGGCTCCACGGAGGGCTGCAGAACCGCTGGCTGCGAGGGCCCGGGGCGCTGTGTGGCAGGAACCGTGGTGGCCGCATTTGTCTGTGTGGGTCGGAGCACAGAGGGAGATGAGGGGCCTGGCTGTGGCACCCCCAGGGAAGGGGCCAAGCCCTGGGCCTTCCTCAGCAGCTTCTTGGCCCACAGGACTCAGGGGAGGGCAGACCCCCAATGGCAGACCCCGAGGACACAGCCAGGGCCGCGTCACCCACCTCTGAGAAAGGGTTGAATTCAGCCAGGCCACCCTGGGGGGCGTTGGTCAGCTGGGTCACAGAGGGATCCTGAGAAGGAGAGAAAGCAGCATTAGAAACTGGGGAAGCTGGGGCATGGTGGCTCATGCCTATACACCCAGCTACTCAGGAGGCTGAGATCTAAGGATCCCAGTTCAAAGCCAGCTCAGGCAAGAAAGTCCAGGAGACTTTTTTTTTTTTGGGGGGGGGGGGGGGGGTCCGGTCATGGGGCCTGAACTCTGGGCCTGGGCGCTGTCCCTCAGCTCTTCAGCTCAAGGCTAGCGCTCTACCACTTGAGCCACAGCGCTACTTCCGGCTTTTTTTTTTCTTTTTGCTTATGTGGTGCTGAGGAATCGAACCCAGGGCCTCAGGCATGCAAGGCAAGTGCTTTAACCACTGAGCCACCTTCCCAGCCCCAGTCCAGGAGACGCTTATCTCCAATGAACCACCAAAAAAACTGGAGTGGAGCTGTGGCTCAAAGTGGCAGAGCGCCAACCTTGAGCAAAAGAGCTCAGCGACAGTGCCCAGTTCAAGCCCCAGCATCAAAATAAATAAATAAGAAACCAGGGAGAGGGGTGAACCTTGGGTAGCAGTCAGCAGGACCCCTGTGATGCAGAGCAGTACTGAGGCTGCTGATCACCTGCCCAGCCAGGGCGGCCTCAACCAGAGGCTGCACGCACTCTGCTCCTACATAGCTGGAATCCCTTCTCCCCTGGAAATGGAAGGCAGGCAGCCATCTAAGGGCCCTGAGCACCCTGAACTCACAGGACTGTGCTTATATTGAATTTACTACAGGAACCAGGGTCTCTGGAGAGGTGGTGGCGAGTGACAGAGATGGAGATGTACGTAATTGCACTCTTTTAGTTATTATTCTATAGAAAGCATTTATTGGGGCTGGGAATGTGGTTTAGTCGGTAGCGTGCTTGCCTAGCATGCATGAAACCTGGCGTTCAATTCCTCAGTACCACGTACACAGAAAAAAAAAAAACACCCAGAAGTGGCGCTGGGGCTGAAGTGGTAGAGCACTTGCCTTGAGCAAAAGAAGCTCAGGGACAGTGTCCAGGACCTGAGTTCGAGCCCCAGGACTGGCCAGAAACAAACAAACAATTATAATTCTTTTTCTCCCTCTCCCCCTCCACCTCCTTTCTGACCTGGGGCTTGAACTCAGGGCCTGGGAGCTGTCCCTGAGCTTTTGTGGTCAAGGCTAATGCTCTACCATTTCAGCCACAGCTCCGCTTCTGGCTTTTTGCTGGTTATTTGGAGATTAGGAGTCTCATGGACTTTCCTGCCTGGGTTGGCTTTGAACCCTGATCCTCAGCTCTCAGTCCCCTAATAAGTTAGGATACAGGCATGAACCACTAGCAACCTGGCTCTTTTTCTTTTTCTTGTGGTCCTAGGGGTAGAAGCCTCATACTTGCTAGTCAAGCACTTTATCTCGAGCTACATCCTCAGCCCTCTTTGCTTCAGTTTTTTCTTTTTTGTCGGTCGTGGGGCTTGAACTCAGGGCCTGAGTGCTGTCCCTGAGCTCTTTTGCTCAAGGCTAGTGCTCTACCACTTTGAGCCCCACAGTTCCTGCTTTATTTTTCAGATAGAATCTCTTTAACTTTTTTTCTGGCCTCAAACCACTACCCTCTCATTTCTACCTTCCTAGTAGCTGGCTTGAGTCACCAAGTACAGGCTTGAGTCGCTGCACCCAGCCTCAACCAGTAGTCTTCTCCCAGAATCCCTTGGCTCCCTGCAAGGAAGACTGGGACTCAGTATCTAGTGTTCTCCTTTACCCACCCAGAGCCGAGCGAGGCTGCTCAGGTCACTGAAACCAGACCCAGCAGCCCAGGAACGGGTTACTGGAGTCTGAGTCACAACAGGACAGGGGACTGGAGAGACAACTGAGGAGCAGTTTCAGGTGCAGGCACACACGTGCCCAGGATGGAGATGGGGGAGAAAGCAGCCCAGACCCACAGATGGTCCTTCCAGCAAAGGCTACACTTACGGCCTGCAGACAGCTTTACTCCAAGGGGCAAATAGATGCTGGCAGCACCAACCTCCTCTTCCTCTCACCAAATGACGCCAACTGCTCTAAGTGGGTCAAGGAGTTAAGACAGGATGGTGGAGACTAAAATTTCACCCAGTAAGAGTAACCTGAGCCCCCAGCTGCCCAGCCCGGTTCACGCCCGTTACTGAATTAGTAACCTGGAATAAACTCCTGAACACAGTTGCTTTCATTCAGATGGGACAGTTAATGTGTGCCAGGTCATCCTGCTCATGCAGGCCAAGCCCTAGCCATTTTGCAAGCCACAGTCAGATGACTTTCTCCAGTCTTTTCCTGCTATGGCTGCCCCCAGCAAGCTCCCAGTGTAAGACTGACTTCTGTTCCCTCTAAACACACTCAAGAAATACCCCACAGGTGACCATGTCCAAAAAGAAATGTAGTCTTTGCCTGACTTATATAACTGTAATTATACATAACTGTATAATACCAATGGAAAAAGAAAGAAAGAAATACCTCATAAGAGACATGTCCAGTGGCTCATGCCTGTAATTCTAGCCACTCAGGAGGCTGAGAGCTGAGGATCCACATTCAAAGCAAACTTGGGAGACTAGGAATGTGGCTTAGTGGTAGAGTGCCTAGCATGCATGAAGCCCTGGGTTCGATTCCTCAGTACCACATACACAGAAAAAAGCTGGGAGTGGTGTTGTGGCTCAAGTGGTAGAGCACTAGCCTTGAGCACAGAGAAGCTCAGGGACACACAGCCCAGGCCCTGAATTCAAACCCCAGGATGGGCAAAAACAAACAACCAAACAAAAAAAGCAAGCTTGGGCAGAAAAGTTTGTGAGACTCCTATTGCCAGCTAACCATCAAAAAGGCAGAAGTGGAGCTGTGGCTCAAGTGGCAGAGTGCCAGCCTTGGATGACAAAGCTCAGGGGCAGCACCCAGGCCCCTGTGTTCAAGCCCCAATAGCAGCACAAAAACAAACAAATACCCCACGAGCTAAAAATCCCAGGCGTTTCTCTCTGGGAAGCAAGAGTCACCAATGGCCTGAAGCTCTGAGCCGTGGTGAAGTCCTATTTGCTGGGAACCAGGCTGAGTGTCACAGGCCGAGAAAAGCTATCCCCAGAGGGCTGTCAGGGCCCTGGCACACAAGCCACAAGTGACCTTGAAGCTCCCTGACCCAGAACGCGAGAATCCGTCCGCAGGAAATATGACAAACCATGTACGACTGTCCCTGTGGGGCAGTCGGGGCACTGGAGAGCAAAGGCAGGTTTCTGCGCATGTCCCCTGGAAGGGCACAGCGCCATGCCAGGCACAGCTGCAAGGTGGCAGGCAGACAGAACGGGCTTTGTTATGTAAGTGCCACAGTAGTTTTGTCAAAAGTAATCACAGGAACAAATTCAGGCAGGAATACACATCGAAACAATGGCTACCACAGGCAGTGAGGACGCCTTCTGCCCCAGCTGCCACGTTTTCTATCAGTGGATTGTTAGTTTTGCTTTTGTTGTTGTTTTGGCAGTAATGGGGTTTGCGCTTAGGGCCTGTGCTGGCTAGACAGGCATCCTGTAGGCCCCCCCAAAGCTCCTTTTACTTTAAAAACACAATCACCTGCTGGAGTGCCGGTGGCTCACGCCTGTGATCCTAGCTACTCAGGAGGCTGAGATCTGAGGATCGAGGTTCGAAGCCAGACCTGGCAGGAAAGTCCATGAGACTCTTTTTTTTTCTTCTTTTTTTTTTTTCTCAGTTGTGGGGCTTGAACTCTGGGCCTGGGCGCTGTCCCTCAGCTCTTCAGCTCAAGGCTAGCGCTCTACCACTTGAGCCATAGCGCCACTTCCGGCTTTTTCTGCTTATGTGGTGCTGAGGAATCGAACCCAGGGCCTCATGCATGCAAGGCAAGCACTCTACCACTGAGCCATCTTCCCAGCCCTCCATGAGACTCTTATCTCCAATGAACCACCAGAAAACTGGAAGTGGTACCTTGACTCAAGTGGTGGCGCACTAGCCTTGGGCTGAAGAGCTGAAAGACAGCGCCCAGGCCCAGACTTGTTCAAGCCCCACGACAAACAAAAAAGAAGGGCAGGGTACTCAGAATAGGGAACAATTGGGGCTGAGTGAGCTGGGTGTGCACAATGACCATCCAGGCATCCAGGCTGCAACGAGAACGAGAGATGGATGGTGGTAAGAACTGCTGGGACAGGAGGAGGGGGAGAGGAAGGAGGAGAAAGAGGAAGAGGAGGAGGTGGCGGCACTGGCTCAGCACTGTGGGGTGCTCAGGAGTGGAAAGACTACAGTGCAGGAATGGAGGGGGAGGAAGGAGGAGAGAGAGGGGTGGGGGGGCGGTGCCAGCCTGGATGGCTGGTTAAAGTGCCACCTTCGGCCAGGCCGGTGACTGTGGGAAAGGAGAAACAGGTTTTGCAGGCTGGGTGTGGAGGGAGGTGGAGGATAAGGATGTGGGCAGGGTGGGCCTAAGATAGCGCTTAGAAGCTGTGGAGGGGCTGAGACCAGGGATCTAGACTCCCACATGCAGATGCAATTCAGGGCCCCTGATGTCCTCACTGTTGAACAGTGAGGATGGGGTCTCTTGAAAACAGGCTGAGCAGGCCGAGGGAGCAGCCAGGGAATAAACAAGCATGTGCCTCAGCATGGGGGTCTCCAGGCTCTCCACTCATGGAGACCACAGGACCTTAGAGCGAGGAGCAGCCCAGGCTACACACAGGAGCAGAGGGGTGAGCACATACAACCAAGTATGGGTTTAGGTTTTTTGTTGTTGTGGTCAGTCCTGGGGCTTGAACTCAGGGCCTGGGCACTGTCCCTGAGCTTCTTTTGCTCAAGGCTAGCACTCTATCACTTGAGCCATAGCGCCACTTCTGTGTATGTGGTACTGAGGAATCAAACGCAGGGCTTCATGCGTGCTAGGCAAGCACTCTACCACTAAGCCACCTTCCCAGCCCTGGGTTTGTTTTTTGTGTGAGTGTGCTGATACTGGGTTTCATGGGCTTTCCTACCCACGATGGCTTTGAACTGTGAGGTTCAGATCTCTGCCCCCTGAGTAGCTGGGATT